ATACGACAGCTGTAGCATTATCATCGAAGCACAGGCAAGTCGAGCGCATTAGAACGGAAAATGCGACATGGACCCAAAAATGGAGCATTTTATACTGTATACACAGACATTATGATAAACGAGTCAGCCGCATTACGGCGGACCGTCACACTGTAGCAGTTCTCAGCGTAACATGAGTAACCTCCCTTGCTGAAAGACAACATTGGACATCTCTGTATCAATATTACGTTATTTTATGCATCAAGCGTTCCTTTCTCTTTTAGCGCACACGTTTTGATCAAAGATGCATAAATCGGTCCATACATTTCGTCTGTCGACACCAACGTTGCCGGCTCCTGTGAACATCAAGCGCCTTTCCCGCACCGGCTCCTCCCTGTCGGGTAGCTCCAGCACTATCAATCGTTTATCTTGCGCGCCCGATGAGAGCGCCACACTTTCCCTGGCATTGCAGCAGAAATCCCCTGCTCCCGTCGCCACTAATCCCAAAGCTCCGTCCTCATTGAATTTTAATTCCCGACAAGCATCTACTCAACAGAATCGTAGGAAAGTGGCTGAAGCCACTCCATCAGTGGATGATCATTTGTACGAGGAAATCAACAGTGTTTACCGCAGCCCTTCTTCCACGATTTCTCCACCGGAAAATAACCCCTCCGTGATCAAAAGAAATTACCGCTGCCATGCTTCTACACTTTCCCCAGGAGATAACTCAAAACGAAATTCATATTGCCCTTCTTCTACGCATTTATCCTTTCCTGTGACTGGAAGAGGGAGTAAAATGTCGACATCGACGTCGGTCTTGACCGCACCTATTTCTTCCCAGACTACTTCAAGTGTCAATCCCCCCCCTGACCCACCCAAATTAGCACCAGTCAGCGGTGTGCTGCACAATCAGGTAAGAGCCGTTTTACTCTTCGGTGTATTCGCAGAGAGATATGGTAATCGGGATGTGCTTAAGAAGAATAATTGCCACCTTTACAAGTCGCCTTTCGATTGCTCTTGACAATGGTGTGAAAGGCAAGGGGACGCCTGCATCCCTGATCTTCCATGGATTCCTGAGATAAGATTAAACAATGGCTAGGGATGAACTTATTTCTTGGCTTCGGCTTGCTATGGCCGCTCTGGCCATTGGACAGCGGTCGTTCGCATCGATGAGCAAATTCAATAAGGAAAACGTGCAAGGGAATATCGATTGATATCCAACGAATTCCCTAAATATCTCTTTGGAAGTGGGTAAATGAAAGGCGCGGCTGGGCTGCAACAACTCCAAAACTTATTTGATTAAATGCAGTTTGAAATCGAATTGGGACTTCCAATGACCGAAAGAAAATGATCGTGACCGATCGAAAAGCGTTTCCTGTCCAAAACACCCTTTATCTTTATGACCCATACACAACTCCTGGAGATAGCTATACTATCAACGCGTTAAATAGCATGCCGGGAATATTTCTCGTTTATCCAAAATCCGTTTAGAAGATTCAGCATCATGATATGAATATCATAAGTTCGTCAGATACATGTTTTCTACGTTTGTCTACGTTTATCCACGCTTATCTGGGCACGACAGTTTATCGACACCGCAAAAACTTCATTTTTCGAAGTGATGACGCATTCCCACATTCTTCGTGCATTTTCCCACCAGTCGAGACCCAACCACGCCCATGTTAACGTCACAATTAATCACCGCCTTGATTCTTGACACATGTTTGACTGATCAAAAAACATTTTGTCTATGTGGATTAAAGGCAGACAGTTCGAGAGTAAGACCGATGTCACCAGGCAGCTTTCAGCCTCCTTGCAAGCCGGCTGAATACATCCGGTGGTAGTTCAAGCGTAACCGGCGAACTTGTCAGCTAGACAGGTGCGGATATCGTGATGTGACTGAGCCGTCTAAACTGGCCTCTTCCCTTCCTTCACCTGTTGAAGGAGGGAAACTTAATCCGCGTCCAGCATATCTATTCATATTTACTGAACAAAAAGATCATCTTTGCCTCGGAACTTTTGCTATGACTTTTACTTGCTCTAAACGAGCCGGTTTGGTCGTCTTTCCAGCCACCGAGACCACAGAGGCTTTAGAAATGCAAAGAAGGGAGAAAGAAGTTTAAACCGGTTTGACAGAAGCTTTAGAAGTCTTTGCTTTATAGCTAGAAGCTGAATTTGAATATGGACGCGGTGGCATTTTCAAGGTTTCGAATTTCAACACAAGAGGTCGATTTCTCAAAGTGGGTAACAATCAGACAAGTTGAAGGGGGAAAGGCAAGGTGTAATGGAGAAACTGTTTGTGACACATAACGGGTCAGCAGACATGGAAAGACGTGAAAAGTTATAATTTGGTAATTGTAGCCATGAGTGCCCATATGTGAAGAGACTTGTGCGAGCATGTTGTCTTCGAGCTCAGACTTAAATCAAAACGTCGCGGGAAATTGCATGCATGTGCCTCATTCCGACTAAGAACATTTTAATGATGACTGCATAGCGTATTGCCACACAGTCAACGACGTGACCAATATCAGAAATGATGAATTATGACAGCTCTCGCCAATTTCGCTCACAGTGTATCCGCATTTCGGTAGATCATATCGACTAAGAACATTTCTGCATGAGTGGTCTCCAACCGCTTTGCATGACTATCCAACGCAAGCTTGGCTCGGGTCGACTAAGAAATCTTCGTTCACGAGCGATAATTACAAAACTAAAAGTGATCGAATGTTAGCAAAGTTACGCACAATTTGAAGACCCAAAAGCATCAAAACTAGCATTGGAAGTATTATCGGGAACAGTGGGAAGTCCTTCTAGTCCGCACATTCCAGTAACGTTCATCTTTGGTTATGAAAATAAACTCGCATGGAGAGGAAACGCGTGGGTCACATCTGGCTGTAAGAGCCTATTTATATTCCCGCTTTATGGGCGGTCACTATACAGACGGAAGGATAAAATCAAAAGAGCATTATTTGTTCTAATGTGGCGCATTTTGTTTCGCTGTATGCTTTATTCATCAGTGTTTTTCTTACTTTGTAGAGTCCGGCACTCATCCGGCCTATTGCCTTCCGGCCGTACATCCGGACGCCGATCGATATCGATCAGGACCTGGACGACGTGGTGGCTCCACTGACCTCACCCAAGCCGTCCCTTTCCCACAGTTCGACCAAGCCCACGGCTGAATCGGTCTCTAATGGCCACTTGAGTCGTAAGCCCACCGGACGTTCGCTATCTGACCCCTGGAAGGGCAGTGGGAACCGGAAAGCCATTGCGCCCTTTGGAGCCAGCAGCAGTGATTTTAAAAGCCGCTCAACACCGTCGTCCGTCAAGGAGGAGACCGGCAGTCAACATGTGTATTATCCGTCCAGCAGTGACAAGTCCAGCTATGGATATGTCAGCTGCAGTGACCAAAGCGTCGAGAGCTTGTACAACGCTACGTCGGGAACCCCAAGAACCTACCATGCTCGCATGATCGGCTCCACGTGAGTGTTGACGCAAAACAAGTCTTCCATCAAAATTTTTTCAAATATTTCAAAAAATACAAAAGAAGTCCTCAGTATTCAAACTTTTTTAACCTACAAAAGAAGTCCTCAGTACTGATTTTTCACGGTTATCTGCAGTGACGAAGAAGCTTTCAACCTGGACGAAGGATACCATGTCATCAGTACACCTTCTCCGAGTGATTCCGGCATTGCTATCAACTACGAAGCCCTTCTTCGAGACCGCGACAACGAGATTATCGCACTGCGGAAAACCATGGAGCTCAACGAGAATGTGATTTTCAGGGTACACGAAGAGAAAGAGGTATATTACGGAAACCACTTCCGTGTCTTTCGCATTCTAGTGTGTGATTGAACTCACCATTGTTTCATCTGCCGTTTAGGCTGCCTGGCGAAGGCAGAATGAGTCCATCAAGCAGCATTACGAAGGTCTACTGGAGAAGCAGCGAAAAGAGCAGGATCAGCGCGTTGCCGAGCTGACGCGGACCATTGAGGAGCTGCGTGGGCAGAGTGTCAAGCTGCAGACACAAGTGCAGACAGCCATGAACAGTAAAATTGATATGGAATCGTCAATTCAGCAATTAGAAAAGCAATGTCAAGACGCACAGATACGCTTGGACGAGGCTAATTGGAGCGTCGGTGACAAGAACGGCCAGCTTGCCTTACTGAAGAAATCTACCCGTACTGCCGATAACGAGGCCACCTGTCAGCAAGTCACCATCCTCCAACAAAAACTGGAAGCTGCCCAAAAGGAAGCCCTACAAAGGAATGCGGAACTGAAAGACCTCCGGCAAACTCTCAACTTCCTCTCGCAAGAACTCTACCAAGTACAGCAGAAGTTTGACGCGACTAGGGAAGAACTCGATACGCGAAGGGACAGTGGTGCCGCCTCGAAATCGAACCGCGAATCTATCGTGGCGAACCTTTGCGAGTCCTTGGATTATATGGACATGGAGAGGTTGAAGAAAGAAATGGCAGACATGAAAGCCAAGTACAATACCGAAAAAAGAACGTTCGAGGAAGAAAGAGCGACGTGGTTCGAGGAGAAAGAGAAGGTGGTGAAGTACCAAAAGCAGCTTCAGTTGAATTATCTCGAGATTTATAAAAGGAATTGTAGTCTGGAAGCGCAGTTGGATGATGTCACGGCCAGTTTGAGACTGAACGGTCATGATGATTCAAGGCCGAATAGTGTGCGAGAATCAGATTGTTGAGAAATAGTTCCTGGCGTTAGGGTTTTGTAGACTGGGAGTTTTCTGCTCGCATTGACACGAATATCTTTCTAGTTCTAAGTGTACCGATAGATCTCTTGCGAATGAATAATTAACACCGAAATATTGTCTGTCCAATCAAGAAAAGCAGATGAAACTCGAAATACACGGAACACTTCCACATTCAGGTGATTAGTCGAGCGTCGTAATTCCTGGTGCAGCTTGCAAAAGCTGTAAAGCCACTAAACTTACAGTGCAGTCTAAGTTCTGATTGTTACAATTCATCGGAATAAAACCGGACTTCGTTCACAAAATTGGCCGCGTGGCCTAATGGCAAGGCGTCTGACTTCGAATCAGGAGATTGCGGGTTCGACCCCCACCGTGGTCAACTTTTTGGTTTCCAAAACAAGGTTTGAGTTGCCTGCTTTTACCTGTCACATACGCGATAAAAACATGGTAAAAGCACAAATGGTCTTTTCTTTCGGGAAAGCTGTCACGGTTCAAAATATCAGTCTTCCAATTTCCACTGGACGGGAAAATGTCAAAAGTGACTCTGCCGCGAGTCGAACGCGGAATCTCCTGATTCGTAGTCAGGCGCCTTAACCATTGGGCCACAGAGCCTTATCACGTATATTGTGTGAAATCATTCTTTATAACTATTGTGCTTCTCCACCCAAAACTGGATAATCCATGTTTCGGATCTTCATAAAATTTTGCTCTGGTCTCCTATGCAGTTCTTCTGCCATACGATAATGCAACAGCAGTAACCATAGAAGAGATAGTTAAAGAGCCTAAACTATGTATCATGAAGAAAAGATCTGAGAAAAAGAAGAAGGGTTGCAACTGGGTGAGATAGAACTTACACGAGTTCTTAGTCTGCTGCCTTCGGCGAAACATCCACTCTTTGAGTTCTAAAGCAGAAGCCGTTTCGGCATTGTATCGTTAGACGGAACGGCGGGGGAACTCTGCAGGTACTGACGACCACATCCGTGTCGGTCGATGTAGTATTCGAAGCAACGAACTGCACTTCGCACTCCATACACGAGTGAACGGATTCGCACTCTACAATCGTAGAGCTTTTTAATTTCAGCAAATTCAGTTTACTATGAGAGAGTGCTATCAGTTTATATATTGAGAGTACTGCGAAAAAGTAGGGGCACCCTGTCAACTTACTTCGCCAGCAGCGTTTTCCAGGAATCTTTTCCGGTATATCCACACACTCGAATTCTACACCGCGAACTGTCAGACAATCGGCCTGCGATCTACACGTCATCGGACCGGTCAGCAGACATTTGCGATCGGTGCAGCGATACATGGGCTTACAATCTGTATCTTGGCTGCACGACCCATCTGCAAAAAAAACCAGGGCACACTACACGACCTTACGTTCGTCAAGCGGATGCGTTTTGGGAAGCTATTACGGTACCTGTAGGTGGAAAATGCGGCGAGTCCTTCTTTACACAAAACTTCCATGTGTCGTCACAGCGGAACTTGGCGGGACATTCTTCGGTGCCATTGCAGATCTGAAGCTCGCTCTCAGTTGGAATTCCCGCGGTGTAGTACGCTTGTAGGAGAAGCTCTTTGAGATCGTCACTCAGCGACATCCACTGGTCCGAATGGTTATCGGCCAGGCTCAAGTTTACACCACCAAGACCATAACCGTTCCCGTTTCGACCATTTCGCTTTCCTTTCAGAGGCACTGCTTGCCCATAAACAAAGAGAACGGCAGTCAACACGGCAAGAACAAGAGAAAGCACGTAGCTTTTTGCCATGGTTCTTGAGTAGTGGGACAAAGAAGGAGATATGATGGCTGCTTTTTCCAAGCGACAGAAAAAGTGGGTATGTCTCCGGATTCCTTCGATCCAGTTATATAATAAGATGCCTCGGTGTAGACATGTTCCATAAAATCGTACGTCAATAGATCCGTCCCGAACAACCATTAAAGGAGCTCTTTAATATCATATTCTATTTTTCGCACATAAAATAAACACAGTTTGCTCGATAGACTAAAAATGACAGCTCGGACGTCGTTGTTGGATGGATTCGGTACGCAGTGCCTCCATCAAATTAGATTCTTTTGTAATCGTAGTCCCAGATTGGAACACAGCATATAAACAACAGCAGTAACTCGTGATAAAGAAGCGTGATCAGCGTGCGTCACATGCAAAAGAACTTTGCGGCCTTTCCCACATGCAAAACCGTGAGAATACTTCTGTATGACGAATGGCCATTTCCGCCATATCAAACTCGATGGTTTGATAAAAATTTACTCATCCTGGGCACCGATCCAGGGTCATGCATTACTCATATTGTGAACTTTGGCATCCTTGGAGCTAAAGTTTGGCGGTTAGCTGCGCATGCATTGCACTGCGGCTGCGTGCGAGATATGCCAGACGCAGCTTGAATGTTTCGTCATTTGGACACCGTATGCGGTGACCCACGCTTCCCGCGGATCGACAGTCAAATCTATGGTG